AAAGTCAATATCAGAAGTTTAAAGTAACAGCTGCGTATGGTGGCTCACCTGTAATCCCAGCATTCAGGAGGACCACTTAAGTTCAAACCATCTGAGCTACATAGGAGTTCCAGGCATGAGACCCTGTCTCAGAAGGAAAAGGCCTGTAACTCCAACTTCAGGGGATTTGACGCCTTCCTTGGACCTCCACCTGCACCTACGTAAGCACACACAAAAAAGTAAAAAAAAAAAAAAAAAAAAAAATCTCCAAAATAAGTAAATAAAATGAAGTGTAATGGAAAAGGACATCCAACAAGCAACCATCTGTAACTCCGGTTCCAGGGGAATCCTGCGCCCTCTTCTGGCCTCTGTGGGCACTGCATGAAAGTGGTGAACAGACATGCAGGGAAAAAAAACCCCTCATACACATAAAATTAATTTTTGTTTTGTTTTTTGAGACACGGTTTCTCTGTGTAACAGTCCTGGCTGTCCTGGAACTCACTTTGTAGACCAGCTGGCCTCCAACTCACAGAGATCCGCCTGCCTCTGCCTCCCATGAGCTGGGGTTTCAAAAGCATGCGCCATGACCACCTGGCTAAAATTAAAATTTTTAAAGTATGAAAATGAATAACTTACACAAATTACAAAAATAAAAATAAAGAATTACAAATTTAAATCAGGTGTTACCTAAAGGAAATAGGATTCTGAATACAGTTTGTAAATGCCATTTTTTTAGTGAATGCTAACTAAACGGTTGTATCTAACCTTTTGCATAGGCTGTATTTAACCATCTGCGTAGGAAATCCACTTCACAAGACTTATTCTACACTGACGTGCTTAGGAAGTGACACTTGTGTGCAAAGTTATTCATTGCAGCCCTGTGTGTAATGGAAAAATGATGGAAATCCAGGCGGTTAACACAGATGTAAAAGGTGACAGCCCTTTTACTATGGAATACTACACAGCTGTAACAGAGAATGCAAACACACGGCTGAATGGGGAGGTACTGATAACAGCCGCTCGGACAGTGGCAGGCAATGTCAGGCAGGGTGGGGGAACACGGCTATGAACACCTTCATTCTTCGCTGTTCTAGGCTTTGAACTTCCTGATTATAGAGCCTAGTGAACATTGCTTCACAAAGAAAACAAAGAAACGCAGCTCACAGGCAGAACGTGGCCTAGTGTACACAAGGCCCTGGATTCTGTCCCTAGCACCACAACCCAAGGGAAACAAGGTGATACGTTCCTCATACCCCTTGCACCTAGATTATCCCCTACTTCCTCTCTCTCTGCCTGGAAGTCCCATCTATACCTCCCTGCTAGCAACTGAACGTTCATCTTTTTATTACACCAATCACAGCAGTGCACCTTCACACAGTGTACAAACATTGCACAACATGTGTGATTCTTGTATACAATTTCCAAGTCTAATCAGGGGACTAAACCCAAAGGGGTCACGTTGTTGTAGGACACAAAGTGCTACGAGCCTAGCATTAGGTCCTAGAAGGCGGACCTAAATGAGTACAAACACATATAGGTTTGGTAAAAAATATTTTGTTTACATTTATTTGTGTGCTTGTGTACACACAGGCATGAGTCAGAGGACAATTTTAGGGAGTTGGTGCTCTCCTTCCACCGGGTAGGTCCTGGGGATCCAACTCTTAATGTTAAGCCCAGCAACAAGCACATTTATCTACTGAGCCATCCCACAGTACCCCTCCCATCACCCCCTATGAATTCAAGGCCCAACCTGGTCTACAGAGCCAGTCCCAGCACAGTGAGGACTGTAACACAGGGAAACCCCGTCTCAAAAGAACATAACAATAATATCAATAATAATAATCCAACTCCACGAAGAGCTATACTAATCATATACTCTCACCCCTTAATTCACAACTTTCAACGGATGCTTTTATGATGGTATGGAATGCCCCAGGAGATGCTCTAGGACTCAACCATAATAAATTGAGGAGCATAACTTTATTCCACCATCCCTAGTTAGAGGGCTTGTGGAATGCAGAGCTCTGGTTGCCATGGCTGGGTGTGAGAGCTCCCCTGGCAGGTGAGATCTATACCTGCCAGGCCTCCGGCCTGATATAAAGTGGAAGGCCCAGTAGGGGGCTCTGCTTCCCCATCTGGGCTGGTCTCAACCAATGGCCCTCTCTGGAGACTCCATGGCAGTTGGGGTTTGGAGTTCCTGTGATGGACAACCATGGGGCCCTGGCTGGCAACAGTCCTAAGTTAGCAGACTCTGGACTTCTTATCTCCTGGCATTCAGACAGCCGCCAGCTTGGAGGTCAGAGAAGGCCCACTGTAGACTCTAAGGGGGTGGGGGTGATAGCATGACCCTTTTCTCCTTCCCTGCTCTCTTGGAACCCTCTCTTTCCTCCAGAGTCTACAAGAGAAAGAAGTACGGGGCTTCCCCAAACAAACTACTGTGGCAGAAGCAGAAACCCCCTCCCTTGGTCCAACTGAGCAATAACCGAACCCCTTCCCAGTATTCCCAAGGAAAACACAGGACTATCGGTAAATTTGCCATATTTAAAGGGTGGGGAGCAGAACACTTCTTTGGTATTCCCCAATAAGTCTCTGCCACTCGAAAGCAATGTCACTTGGGGACACCAATTAACATGGATCCAGTATTTTTATAAGTCACTCCAGATAACAAGCCAGCCTGTGGCTCTGCAAAATGGCAAGATATTACTTTGTTCAGGCATTAAATGGAACAGAGAGAATACAAGTGGTAGGGTGGTGGGTGGCGGATAGGGGAGGGAAGCACATGCAATACATTCCGCCCCACTAGGGATTAGCTTGGGATGCAGGGAAGAGGGTGTAAGGAGCCTTTGAAACCAGGACCCATCCTGTGACTGACAAGCATCCTACAGAGAGAGAGAGAGAGAGAGAGAGAGAGAGAGAGAGAGAGAGGCGCTGCTGGGGGCTGAGGTGGAGTCCTTCCTGGCCATCACTAAACCCTGAGAAGGAACACACTCAAGGCAGAAAAATACCCATCTTGCCTAAGATTGCCCAATGGCAGGCCACAGAAAAGCAGTCTCCCCAGGAGGACAAGGGACACTTTATACCCTGCTAAGGAGGAGACAATTCACCTTATGTCTGGGTTCCCATCATCCTTACAACCTAGCCTACTTAAGCTGTTGAGACTCGAAACCCACAAAATGGTGGCACTACCAAGGCGCCAACCACATTCCAGACATGACCACAACGTTCCACCAGTCAGTCAGTGAGAACAGACTCACTGTTGGAGAGTGATGGCGCTGGGATTTGGACAGACATTCATCTAGCTCCAAAGACCTGAGCACTCTGCCACAGCGCCTCACCTCTAACAGAGAGCTCCCTTCTCTAAACTACTCCAACTAGCAAGGAGACCTCTTGTGTTGCCACTTAATTTTTCTTCACCTGCAGGCTGGTGGAAGGGTGCAAACCAAACTCTGTACAAGGGAACCTGAGCCTTCACCACCAACACTGGGTTTGCAACAGAGCTCTGGATTCCTGGGAGCCTTCAATTCTCTTGTCTAAATGAAAGACCTCCCTCACTCAAATTAGATGGTTTAGCCAATTTCTAGGTCCTTTTATCCCCTTTATCTGGGCCTCTACACCGTGCAGGTGAACAACAAAAAGACAGATATAGCGGCAAGAAGTGTTCTGGCATGGTCTTTCTGGAAAAGCCCATGTCCTGGGTCAATTTGGTGCCTCTGGACACAGGGATAAGTCACAGGAAGAAGACCCATACTCCATCTCCCGCTTGCACCACAGACAAAGAGATCAAATGAGTCAACAACAGAAAAACTACTTTTAACTCCAGTTGTTGAAAGTTGTGATTCCCGCTATTCCTCCGGCTGCTTGGCCAATGAGGCATGTTGGAACTCCTCAGTGTTTAAGGTTTGTTTTAATAGGCAAGGATTATGGAATTGTACATATTTCGGATAAATAATTCAGGCTGGCCTCAGGACTAACCAGAACCCTCCCCAAGGTCGCTGAACCGAGGTCAGGGTGGCTGCTCTGGGGCCAGTTTCCACCATTCTCTAAAATCAACACCCCCAGCAAGTACCGCACCCCAATGACCAGTGGCTAGCTGGGTAAAAAGGCTAATGCCACAACCCCAGACCCAGAGGAAAAGGGGTTCTGCCAGCGTTGCTCCTGCCCCTACCCTTCCATTTAGGCTACAGGAAAGCACTTTGCCTCTCACCAAATCATACTCAGAGTCATCTGGACCATACACGCCACATAACTATTTGGACAGTCCGACTGGTTTGGAATCTAGGCCCGGGGAGACACACAGATTCTTAAAACTAAACCCATAAGCCAGAGAGGTTTTCCTGCTGCGATCCCACCACGGGATCACAAGATGAATATGAATGGCTATTTTGGCCGTAGCCCTAAAACTCCGAGAGGGAGCAGCCGGTAATCAGACCACCTAATTTAGTCAGTCCCAACCTAACAGAGTCCAAGAACCATCTCTGCCGTTAGCCAAGCGGGAAATCAGAGCGATGCCTCCCTTGCGGTTCTCCATTCCAGCCCAACCCAACCGTAAGAATCAGTCATCACTCTTCAGCTGGAGGATGGTCTGGCGGGGGGTTGGGGGGGGCAGGGAAGAGGGCACACAGGCTCCTGGAATGCAAGGTCCAGACACCAGAGTCCCATGCGAGCAGCCGCCACCGCAGAGCATCCGATCTGCCCATCTACTCAGCTTCCTCTGCGCTCTGTGTCCCCGGGCTCTAGAAAGCCAATCTCAATCTTTCCGCGCAGCTATCGATCGACCTCTCGGGCGCCCTTCTCTGGCTCACACATCCCAGGCCCTCCAGCCGAAGGGACAGCGCTGTGACCTCCTTTCCCTCGCCACCGTGGCACTGCGATCAGGTGCCACCAGGACCCGGCTCAGGGAGTGCGCGGCCTCCCGAAAGGATCCTGGTCCTCGGTGTGCCTGTGTCCCCAACCCCCATACAGTGTCGCCCAGCCCGGAGGTGCACGGGTTCCCATCCTGAGAGCGTCCGCTCAGTCCTCACCTGCAGTCCTCCAGGCGGCAGTCGGGCCCACGCAGCCTCACTATCCAGGCCCCGGGGCAGCCGGCGACACAGCTACTGAGTGGGTGCGTCCCAGCCGACAGCCACGCGCCCCCTCTCTGCGTCCGGCCCCCGCCGCGTGCGCATGCCCGGCCATATACCCCGCGCGTCACGGCAGGACCCGCCCCTGCCTGCCGCCCCGCCCCGTTCCCCCGCGGCCTGCCACGTGGGGCGGTCAGGGAGCAGCGTCCAGTTACTCCAGCCAACCTGGTCCTTTATCGCTGTGCATCCCGGACTCGCATCCTACTCTCACGGCCTCATCCACCCTTCCTCTCAAATTACATGCTTGACTCATAGAGGCCCTGCAGGCTCCTTTATTCTCTGGAAACCTCCCATCTGTCCTTCTGTGCCCTTTGTGGGAAACTCTCATAGCCTGACCTCCATCCTGAAGTAGAGAGCACCTCTCTTGGTAGGTATCTGTATTTTAACCCTGCTGATGAATCTAAGAGGCTTCTTTCTGTTTTCCCCAATTTTAAAATGTTCTCTAAGCAGGTGGAGCAACCCATAGACAATGTTTCCTTTGCATGCCCCAGCCAACTAAAGAACCAAAAGGTCTTGTCATGATCCAAATAAAAGATTATATTCACATTTCAGGTTTTTCAGATTTTCGCACCACTTTCGCAGTAATCAGATTCCTATGGAGCCAGTCAAGCCTTAGGTTTTGTTTGAGGATTGTCTTAGGAGGGAGTCTCTTCCGCTGTAGGGAAGGCCTATTGTGTTGGATATCGAGCCTCGGATATGCAAATTTCTTGAGAAAAATAAACCACCCATTAAACTCTTATTGTTCTATCCAGCTGGACGTTAGCAGGATTATTTCCTCTAGCGCTTTACCATCTGGAAGTACTTTAAAAGGTACTGGAGCCAGTGAGTACCCATGCTGCTGTTCTAGCACAGGGAAAGTGTCTATGAGTATCTCTAGATTTGTGCAGTAGAGAGATAGCATCCAAGTGTTGGGGAAGGTTCCCTCAAGAAGGAATAGGAGCCGGGTGGTGCACGCCTTTAATCCCAGCACTCAGGAGGCAGAGGCAGGCAGATCTCTGTGAGTTCGAGACCAGCCTGGTCTACAAGAGCTAGTTCCAGGACAGCCTCCAAAGCCATAGAGAAATCCTGTCTTGAAAAAAAAAAAAAAAAAGGAATAGGAAAGGAACCCAGAGTTCCTAGAACAGGTGGCAGGAAGGACCCAGTGGTCAGTGGCAGCTTGCTCTTCAAGGCTGGCTAAAGAAAATTGGGGAAGCACTAAAGTGAGGGGTGGGGGTAACAGCCAGTCCTGGTGGTGCAGACCTATAATCTCAGCTATTCTGCAGGCAGGAGGATCTCAAGTTCAAGACCAGCTGGGGCAATTTCATGAGACCCTTTCTCAAAATAAAAGGTAAAAGGTAGACTGGGTACATGTTGGTCCAGTGCATGCCTAAGCCTGCATGAAGCCATGGGTTTGAGACCAGCAAAACCAGGTCAGGTAATGCACTCTTGCAATGCAGCACTTGGGAAGTAGAGACAGAAGGAACACTAGTTTAAAATCACCATTTGGTCCCATAATGAGTTTGAGGCCATGACTGAGATACCTGTCTGTAAATTGATTAATCAGTATCTTACCTAGCATATAAAAAAGATATAAAGGTACTGAGGCCATCCAGCTTCTTCTGGTCACTATGTTCTTCTAAAATTCATTTATCTTTACTATGTAATTACAGTGCTCCAGTGGGTAAGGGGGAGAGCTGTGATAGCCCTCTCATTTACTTTGAGTGGTTCAGAGATAATGATAGCTCTTGCTGAATTTCCTCCAGAGCCCCTTCAACTCTGTAATAACACTGAATATTTGTCTTGTTTAAACTTACAGTGTTTTTCAGACGTTATGTCATCCACTTGGGCTCCAAAGTGCAATGGGCTGTCAGGAAAGGTCAGTCCCCCATCAGGCCTTTCCTCAAAGGCATATATAAGAAGAACAAGAAGCCCACCTAGAGATAAGGCATCAGATACTTCAAGTACACAGAGCTGAATAGGAGAAGCCTGTAAGTACACATCCCACAGGGTTCCAGGCAAGGTGTCAGTACTACAGCTTGCATTAAGCAGCTGTCAGAGAGTCCACAGGAGAGCTGGGCATGGTGGCTTCTGTAATGCCAGCACTTAGTCAGTGAAGCAAGAACATCAAGGGTTCAAGGCCAGTTCAGCTCCATAGTGAGAGGCCAACCAGGGTTACAAGAAACCCTGCCTCCAAACAAACAAACAAACAAGCAAGCAAACAAAAAGTACTAGCGGGAAAGAGAGGGGTGACTGACACCCCATCTCAGGACCTATCTGTGTGGCATTGTCACTTGTTTGTAGAACTGTCAAAGTCCACAGGGGCAACTGGAGTTGATAAGCTATCTCAAGCTGATAAGCTACACACAAGAGCAATACAATTAATCATTAACATAGCTCAAAATCAAGAGGTCCTAAGTCTCTGCCTCTGCCCCCACATACATTTCTTCAGGAGGCATGTCCTGATTAGATGACATACCTAGACTAGGTCCTACCTTGTTCATGACAGTGATGTTCACCACACATGCTGACAGTTTGGAGCCTGGGCCCTATGCTACCCGCCTCCCCTTTTCCCTCTCACCCGCCACCTTTCCACTTGGTCTTTCTCTTAGTTTCTTAGTTGTTCTGAAGTATATCAGATCTACTCTTTCAGACTTTTGGGAAACCTGTATCTTTAAAAAGGCAATGTACTTTGTGTTTCACAACCCTCTGTAACTCCAGTTCTGGAGGGATCTGACCCCCCACACACACCCTGTTCTGGTCTCTGTGCACACATGGTATACTTTTAGGTATAAAGGCAATCACTCATATATGTAAAATTAAAATAAAAATAATATAGTGCCACAACTCCAGTGTAAATAATATACCAAGCAAAAATTTCATAACATAGGGTCTAAGAGTGTAGCTCCTTTGGTAGAACATTTGCCTAGCATGCTTAAAGCTTTGGGTTCAATTTCCAGGACCACAAAACAAAGGGCCAGGCATGATAACCCATCCATTTAACCCCAGCACTCAAGAGGCAAGAGCAGTCAGAGCTCTATGACTTCAAGGCTAACAACAAACCCACTAAATTTGATTTTGTAACCATTGTTGGCTTGTGACCTACAGAATTAATATGATTTATGGAACTTGTAATTTTTGCTTGAAAGCATTTCATTTCTAATACAAGCTTTTTATTTTCTATTATATTTATCTATTCATTTATTGTATGTGTTTGTACATACTTGGGCACTATGACACGTGTGTGGAGGTCAGAGAACAACTTGCAGGGAATTGGTTCTCTCTTTCTTCCATGTGAGTCTTGGAGATTGAACTCCGGTGGTTAGGCTTGGAAGCAGTGCCTTTACTTTCTGAGCCATCTTACTGGAACCCGAAGTATTTTATTTCTATCCCTATCGTTAGCCCTTAACCTGCCTTGATTATAAGAGATTTCAATCTGTACCTGAACCCCATAATATAGTGGTTTGCACATAAAAGATTCTCTAAAAATATTTGGCCTGGCTAGCAGCTCCCTCAAAATTGGATGTTGGGCAATATTTAAGGGAACTGAACACAAGAAACTGACATGGCCATGGCCCTGCCAACACATGCAGACAGCTTTCCCGTAGAAGAGGTGAGGGGAACGGCCCTGCAGAAGAAGCCAAAGAAATGAGATACCCATCATGTAGTGTGCAAGGGTGGGGCTGAAGACTCAGAAAGCCACAGTCCCGAGTCAACTGTGTTCACAAGACAGCAGGGGATGAGCCGGGCAGCCAAGACTCCTCATCCTTCCCAACAATTTTGAACCATATTGGTTTGGCCAAAAGTTCACAGCCTTTTTCAGACTGTTAGTTATAAATTCCTCTGGGGTTCTTTGGGGGTATTTTCTGGGTTTTTTTCTATGTTCTAATAGGACTTAACATTTAAGAGGATCAGAGAAAACATCAAGATGTCCCTCATCCTAAAATCAGGCTGAAGGACCCAAGGGCCCATGAGTAAACACCCTATGCTGCTAGGCAAAGCTCAGATGATGGTCAGTGACCTCAGCTGTGAATCATATAGGAGCTTCTAACCCGGTCATACAAAATGCAACTGGGAGAACACTTGGCTCTGGAGTAATTATCAATGGGAATTCTAATTGAGCAAACACATATTACCAGTATTCCAGTATTTTATAACCTTTTTCTCTGCTTTTGGTAATTTGATTCTTCTTATTCTATTTTTTTATAATATTTACGTGTATGAGTATTTTTGCTTGTGTGCATATATATGCGCCACATACATGTCTGGTCTCCACAGAGGTCAGAAGAGGGTACTGGATTCCCTGGAACAAGAGCTACAGAAGGCTGTGAGCATTTGGGTGCTAGGAACCTAAACCAGGTCCTCTGCAGAGGAACCAGCACTCAATCTCTGAGCCCTCTCTCTAACACCCTTAAAATATTTTTTACATTTATTTTGTGTATGGATAGATGATACAGTGAGTGTGTGCAAGTCAGAGGACAACTTAGGGGGAATCAGTTCTCTCCTCCCACCATGTGAGTCTAAGGACTGAACTCAGGATCCCAGGGTTGGTGGCATGTATACAGCCATCTCACTGGTCGTCCCTTTTATTAGTCACCATTCTAGCTAAAGGTCTGCCCATTTTGCTAGTCTTTTCAAAAAGACAACTTAGGGGTTTGTTTATTTTTCTGTTATTTTTTGTCTTCTATAATTTCTGCACTGACCTTTCTTTATAAAAGATTAGTAGGGTGTGTAACACACACCTAAGTCTAGTACAGCTCCCTGGGAAGATCAGAAGAAGGACTACTGATGTTTAAGTGCTCAAGAGCAGCTTGGTCAATGCAGTGAGGCCTCCATCTCAAAAATTAAAAATTATTATATACACTGTGATAAGTGTTTTTCCCTACCTCCCTACATATAATAAGTAAATTAATTTTTAAAAAGTTTTTAATGGTAGAGAAGACACTTGAAACTTGAGCTGACAGCAAAGGTTAAGACCATCAAACAGTTTAAGCACATACTCAAAACTTCAGTGCCTTACTGTCTGGTCCCCAGCCTGCTCAGGGGAAACCACCTGGCTACCAGTGGTGCTGTCCCCAACATGCAAAATAAGAGATGAGTAACACTAACTTTTGCTTCTCTCTGAAGAAAAAGCATTATAGCCATTGAATAAACAAACCACATTCTTTCAGACACGACTACACACATAGATTGTTTTTATTTTACACCACAGGGCTCAACTGCTTGGCACTGAAACTGAAAAACAAAGCAACAACATCAGGTATAGAAAGTACAGACATTCTGGCGTTACCGTTAAGTATCTGTTCTACCTAAAGAGAAAAGGAGTGCTGGGGACAGCACCTTCTAAGGACAAACTCAAACTACTTCCAAAGAAATCAGAAAGTGGAATTAGTTCAGCTAAAGACCCAGTTTTCAGTCTGTTCTGTTTAATTCTGTGGCTTTTACATTTCAGGTCTCAGCCTAGCCTTGGTCATAGACTCCAAAAAAAAAAAAAAAAAAAACCAGGGGTGCATTTGAGAACCCCAACACTCATCCCTTCCCAGCTCAGGATGCTGCAACAAACTAAAGGCTTTCTCCGTGTCTTCTTTAAATCCAGGACCTGGCACGTGCTTGGAGAGCATTCTAACACTGACTACGGGAAGGCCCAGTTTCTCTTCATTGTTTCATGATGAAGCTCTTCTTTTCACACACTGGCATTTAAAATAAGTATTTCTGCTCAGTCCCTTACCATCCATCCATCACCCCAAAACATACATAGATACATGCGAATTTGAAAAGGTTAAGTAAAATTAGCTTTTAAACCCCAGTAAAGGGATGATCCACTTAAGCCTGAAGAGATTTGAAGATTCTGAAACAGAAGGGGAAAAAAAAAAAAAGAAGAAAACCACACAGAAAACCAAAGCTTCCCCAAACCGCTGAAGCCCACAGGCCTGGGGATAACTTCCTACATGTCTCACTCAAGTGAGAGTATCACATTTGCCCAAGCCAACTTTGAGAAGACTGAACCTGGATTTTGAAAAATTCCAAGCAGCATCAGCCCACAGCTGGAAGAGATTCTTGCAAAATCTCATTTATAGATATTTGCAGAAATATCTACACTCCATCCAGAATGTTCCTAGCTCTGCTGAATCCTTCCCATGTATTCTGATCAAATTTACTGATGATCAGTCACAAAGAGCAAAGGTGTATGTGTGTGCATGCATGCATCTGTCAAGGGCTGAAAGGTCCAGAAAAGCAGCCTCAGCTGGAATCGAAGGAAGCCAGGATAGCCGCACTCACTTCCCTGGACAAGTGGGTTCAAGGGCTTGACTATGCCTTAAGCTGGTTTAACTACATGTCTTTCACACATGCACACAGCTGTGCGCTCTAAAACATTATGCTGCACAGGCCTTTCTATAGCCCTCCCAGATGTACAAATAAAGTAGCTCTCTTATTTAGATGTCTGCAATGACTTCATATCACTTCTGGCACCAGAAATAGAATGGTCCTGTAGGCATGACCTCCAGGTATAACTGATGCCCATGCTGCCTTGGAAGCTAGTTTTTCTGTCTTTACTTATTTGGTAGGAGGATTTTACATGCTAAGAAAATGCTTTGTCATTGCCCCAGCCCCCTAGACATTCCTGATGCCGTGCTTCCTTCACACAGCAGCGGTGCTGCCAACACCACTGTGTTCTACAAGGGCAGCAAGGCAGCTTGTAGCTGGTACCTAGAAACTTGCTTCCTTGACATCAGGGCTTGGTTTTGTTGTGGGCTTTGGAGGCATGGGGGTTTTTGTTTTTGTTTTTTGAGACAGGGTCTCACTCTGTAACCCCGACTAGCCTGGAACTCACCATGTAGTCCAGGTTGCCCTTGAACTAAAGATCCTTCTGCTTCAGTCTCCCAAGAGCTGGGGAAACAGACATGTACCACCACACTCTGCTATAACGTCAGGGTTAAAGGAAGAACAGAAATCTAATTCTACAAGGATGGAGAAAGAGAAAATGCCAACATAAATCCCTATGGCCGTTTCTGCTGACTCTGTAAGAATGAGTGGAGCTGCAGTCCAGTTGCTCCTTATAGCCAGTGTCCATGCTGCCAGTTACAGGAAGAACAGGTTCTCACACAGCTGAATGGCTGGTTCGTGATGCAAAATCTGTCCAGACAGGAAGGCTAGCTTGTGGGCATACTTGCAAGGAGCTGGAACTCGGATAGTACCAGGCCAATTCCAGTACATGTGGCACAGTTTGAAAGTCAACCTGAAGTTAAGATGAAAAGGTGTTCTTTATCACTTCCACCTTCACCTAGTGGTGGGGGCAGGGTTTCACTCTCTTGGGGATACACATAGCACACCCACCAACAAACTGGGGGAATTCTGGGAAACCTAATGCCACTTTCAGGAATTGTTGGTTTTATATTTGTTTGGTTGGTTTGTTTTGGGGGTACAGGCTCTCAACTCTCTAGCCTAGGCTGGCTTAGAACGCCAGGAGCCCAGGCTGTCCTTTAGCTGTCAATGATCTTCCTGCCCCAGCCTCTTGAGTGCTGGGAAAATATGTGTGAGCCACTAGGTCTGAGAGAGAAATCATTATTTTTTTATCTGGAATTGTTTACATTTCCACTTAAGCCAAAGGATGGGTATCTTCTCAATTTAGGCATTTCCCTGTTTTTTTGTTTTTGTTTTTAATTAAAAAAAGAAGGGGCTGGAAAAATAGCTCAGCAGTTAAGAGCACTTGCTGCTCTTTCAGAGGACCCAGGTTTGGGTTCCCAACAATCACATGACAGCTCACAATCATCCACAACTCCAATTTCAGGAGATCTGATACCCTTTTCTGGCCTCCACAAGCATCAAGCACACACACGGTATACATATATGCATGCAGGCAAAACACTGTACATGTAAAACAGAATACAATGAAAGAAGAAAAACACCACAAGGGAAAAACCTATTTTCTCTACAGGAAAAGGCTAAAAGAGCATTTACCAGTCTAGTGGGTCTGTACATCATAAATGTGGCTATCTGCCATAGTCATTTACAGTGGCTATCTTTCACCTAGCTAGTTTTTTGTTTTGTTTTGTTTTTTTTCCAAGAAATGGTTTCTTTGTGTAACAGCCCTGGCCGTCTTGGAACTCCCTTTTTGAACTAGGCTGGCCTCGAACTCATAGAGATCTGCCTGCTTCCATCTCCCAAATGCTGATATTAAAGGCATGCACCACCATTGTCCGGCTGCTAGGTAGCTTTTTTTGTTTTTTGTTTTTTCAATACAGGGTTTCTCTGTGGCTTTGGAGGCTGTCCTGGAACTAGCTCTTGTAGAACAGGCTGGTCTCAAACTCACAGAGATTCCCCTGCCTCTGCTTCCTCAGTGCTGGGACTAAAGGCGTGCACCACCACCACGCAGCCTAGCTAGCTTTTTGAGACAAGGTCTTATTATATAGCTGGGACTGACTTGCAACTAACTATGTCCTTCAGGCTGGTGATTCTAGCTTTTCTGACTAGAGCATTCTTGAGTAGTAACATTCTGAGCATGTGTTAACACATGCAGCTGGGGCAGTCTGTTAAAGTATAAAAGCCAGTAGGCGTGGTAGTGTGCCCTGTAATCTCTGCTACTGAGAAGGTCGAGTTAGAAACATGACTTCAGTTCAAGGGTTTGAGACCAATCTGGGCAACACAGCAAGACCATTTTTTTGAAACAAATTAAGCAAATACCAACGCTTTATAACACACAGGATTAAGGGCTGGCAGGCACCCATTTTCTTAAAGCTCTTCAAGTGATTTTTAACATAAAGCAGGGCTATAAATCACTCCTCAAAAAGATAATGACTATTATCAAGACCTGGGAGAGTCAAGGGGTGAAATACTGGTAGCCAGCTCAGTTGGTAAAGTGCTTACTGCACAATTATGAGGACCGGAACTCAGCTCCCAGCAACCACGTGGTGTGTGCTTGTAATCTCAACACTGGAGACAGAGACCTTGTCTAGCTGGAACTCTAGATCCAAGTGAAAGACACTGTCTCAAAAATCAAAGTAGACAGCTGCTAGGAAAAGTCACTTGAAGTTGACTTCAGCCTCCAGACCTATGCACACGTGCACACATGAGCGCGCACGCATACACACACATACTCACAAACTAAAAGGATTAACTACTATCTTGAGAGACAGTGACTAGTGTCTTAGCTAAGTTGGGAAACCAGTGAGAACAAGTACATTTCTGACAGGCTTACCTCTGCATGTGATCAGGGCTCAGGTTTGCAGTGTTCAAGACACAGATGTAGTGTGTAGGTATGCCACAGCCCTGTCGCACATGGTGGGCAAGAAGATAGAAATCCACCCTAGCAAAGAAAGAGCACCAACTGGTGAAACCACTGGAGGCATTTCAAGATCACTGCAGCCCTATCACACGGGGCTCAGAAAGGAAACGGCCAATTACACACAAGGACAGTGTGTGTGTGTGTGTGTGTGTGTGTGTGTGTGTGTGTAGGCTCATGGATATAATCCACAAAAGGACACCGTGTGTGTGTGTGTGTGTGTGTGTGTGTGTGTGTGTGTAGACTCATGTATATAATCTCAGCCCTGGGGAGGATAAGAAGGCAAAGCCATCTGTTAAGATCAGCCTGGGCTACATAGAAAGTTTGGAGGATGCAGTATGGGTTACATGAGACCCCCATCTCAAAAGGAACAAAGAGAAGGAAAAGTACACATAAGAAGTAAAAGCTTTGTCATTAAAAACATTTTTTTAGCTGGGTGGTGGTGGTGCATTCCTTTAATCCCAGCACTTGGGAGGCAGAAACAAGGGTATCTTGGTGAGTTAGAGGCCAGCCTGGTCTACAGAGCCAGTTCCAGAATAGCTAGGACAATACAGAGAAACCCGGTCTCAAAAAAGTTTTTTTTTTTAATTTAGAGCTCGGAACACATCTTTGTGGTGAAGTGCTTGTGCATGTGTGCTTGTGTGCATACATGTGTATGTGTCTGTGCATGTGTGCTTGTGTGTGTACACGTGCATGTCTGTCTGTGGTTGGTAGAGATGAGCCTGAGCTCACACAGGACTATTGCTCCATCACTGAGCTCAATCAGATCTTGCTTGCTTCAACACTAGAACATAAGCACTCCATCCCACACCTCTCCAGGAATATTCAGGCAACATCTCCAGCTTATTCTCCCTCAACCAGGGATGCCCATTTTTGTCTACTTACCACTCACAGCTGGTTATGGTATGGTCGACCACAGTCCCAGGGGAGGGGGTCACAAAGTGGTCAGGAGCGGCCAGGTAGAGATTGGTGCTGATTTTCTTCTGAACTACAAAGACCACCATCTTGGGGTGGTAGTTTTCAAAGGCTTCAAAGCACTTTTGCAGCTGAGGAATCTCGTAGTTGGCAACTGTCTTTAGCTGGCCATCAGACACTCCATCTCGGTACACCACGATCTTCTCTGGGAGACAGTGGTTCACCTGAAATGATACCTGGAGGAGGTGACTCCAAGGGCTCTTGGCTCAAGGACCACAGTGAAAAGCTCACACCCATGGTGCAGGCTAGAGACTTGGCAGTTGGGCCCTATAGCAGTGAGCCCAAAGCACAGGACTGCCAAGCATGCCAAAAGCGTCTAACCATTTCTAGATTTGTTCAGAATAGCAAACAGGCTTTGATACAGCTACGGTACTATAAAACATGAAAGCAAGGTGTGGCAATTATGAGTCACATGCTCACAGCCCACCCTCAAACATAGTCAACACTGTTAAAAGGCAATGGCAGGAGCTTGACATGGCTGCAAACACCTGCAAAGGCAGCATTTGAAAAGCTGATACAGGAGGATCACCATGAGTTCTAGGTTACCTGGGCCATATGGTGAAATCTTGTCTCTGGAAAAAGGAAGGAAAGAAGGGAGAGAGCAGGGAGGGAAGGAAGAGGAAAGGAGAGAGGGAAGGAGGAAGCAAAAACTCAAAAGTTTTTTTTTTTGTTTTTTGTTTTGTTTTGTTTTGTTTTTTTTACAAAGATAGGAAGGAGGAAGCCAAGACTCAAAGTTTTTTTACAAAGATAATGGCCAGAAAAGGTGAGTCAGTGTTTATCTGACTTGGGTTTAATGCTGACAACTGTCCAGAAAAGACCCCGGAAGTGTTAAGGAAGGTCTAACACAGGAATATAGACTCAGATTTTGACATGTAAGTAACATCCCAAGTTGCTGACAAGTGACAGGTTCTTCACTAATGTCCCATGACAAGCAGAATGTCAGATACACTTATGATAACTAATAAAATAGTGGGTTTTCTCTGCATCAGCTCTGAGACTGCATTCAGGTCCATTCTAAGTTAGAAATCCCCTTGAAACTGATTTGACTTCAGTTCTGATTACAGTTTAATACAGGTTCTTGTTCCTTAAAAGGTAAATCACGAGTAAAGCCTAAATACTCATTTCCTTCTATAAGGATGACTCCAAGAAAATTTTATCTTAAACCCTTTTCCAAAACTGATC